GCCCTGAAAGCGTTCGAATCACACTAGACACAGCACCCTTCCATTGTGAACATTCGTGCAAGATGCATCGTAGCATACCGGCGAACGAGCAGCTGGCGGCCTGGAAAGAGTGGGCCAAAAGAGTACTACCTACCTCGTCGAAGAAAAATTGGAAGGTGGAGAAATGTGGCGGAGATTCAAGAATCTTTACGTTCTCAATTCATTCAAGTTGTTGCTAAACATTTAGACATGTATACCTGCCTATCTGTTAATCATTTCAGTTGCGCCCTTTTCATTATCGTTGTGATCTTATCAAAAAGCAGTTATTCAAACCATCTCTTTTACTATCTAATATATTGCAGTACTATTGAAGGTGAAAATTACAAAAAATGTAGTAGTTGTTTCACAATTATGATAGTGCTTATCACCAATTTATCCAAGTATTACGATAAAAATTGGCAATGTAAATATATGAGGAAACTTTGTCCAACGTTTTTACTTTTTGAGAGTAGAACATCTAAAGACTTGAAGCCTATTTCAAGACTCTTGAATCCGATAATATCGGATATTAATTCATTCAAAAGTTTACAATTCAGCAGAAAACTTGGAATTTTAAAGAAAACCCGTAAAATGACTTGCAATATAATTGCAAGAAACTATTGCACATTAAAATCGATTGCTATCAGGGTTGAACTGTTATTAACACTGTTGTTTAACGTTATTTAACAAGGCATGTTAAAAACTGTTATAAACCTTACAGTTAGAAACTATAATTCAACAACCAGTGATGAGAAATAAAAGTTTGACCAAGCAGTAAGAGGCTTCTTCAAAAAAAATTGTCATTCCAAAAAAGGGAAATCTCGACTTTGGGGTCTGTCCAGTCGGACTTGCAAAACCGATTTGAAAAATGTCGAGAAAATGAAATTTTGTCTTCGTGTGATGAAATCAGATTGATTGTAATTCAAATTTTGGTACGTTTAAATTCGGGAAAAACCGGCGAACGGACCAGTATTTTTGAATTGGGGAAAAACCGGCGAACGGACCAGTACTTTTAAAGTGCAAACTGACCAGGGTGGCCACTAGGCTAAGAGCGTCCTACTAAAAAGCAGCAAACATATATTTTGTTTTGTAAAAAGACTCTTAGACACCGCTAAAAAAAAGTTCAAATAACAAATGATCGCACAATTTTTTCACAGCTGGAAGGAAACAGCAGCTGAATGACGGTCAATTTCACGCACAGACTTTTCTCTTTTCGGGAGCTCTACCAAATTCTTATGCCTTTTTCAGCTCATCCTCATTAAAAAAAAATCTCTTGTCTCAAATGACAGCTAATCATATGAAAAAGACAATTGCTTTGAAAATAGATACCTGGGTTCAAAAAAATACAAAAAAGTAACTGTAGGATACCAGCATCTAAAAAGATACCAAGTGGCCACCCTGAATCTGACCACCCTTTTTTCCGTGATTCTGGCGGATTTTTGTTTGAGCAAAGCTTACATGGAAGCGCCAGCAGATTCTGCTAAGGACACAGTCTCCGTGAAGAGGGATCTTGACAGGAAAGACGATCCGCCCTGGCTGTCTTCCTCATCCGGATCCGCGTGTGCCCAGGAATCCTTACGGATCGGGAAGGGGGGCGGATCAAGATCCAGAAGGGAATCCGGGATTGAAGGATCAGTCATAGCGGGGAAGGGTAAATACAAGTTTCCCCTATGTTTAGAGGGGGAGGGGGAGGGGGGGGGGGTGAGAAAAGGAAGTCGGATGTTTGATTAAAAGATTTAGATTGAGTGCCCACAGAATGGGTAAACTCTATACGAAAGGATAATGTTGGAACAGAAGCAATAAAATTTATAAAAACTAGACGTCTTCATGTAACAAGAATCCGATTAGGTCACAAACTTTGAGGACTTTCAAATACACTGAAATAAGGCATTGCTTCTAAAACAAAAGGTCAAAAATTTAAATTTGTGAATAACGGAGATGAATGGAGTTACACCGTTTACAAGTCTGAATAGCTGAGTTACATCATTCACAAATCAGGTACCCGGCAAGACTGAATCCGGTTGCATATCTTTTTGAAAAATTTAACGCAAGTTGTAGAACCTATAAAGCATGAAAGTAGAATTTAAACTGGAAAAATCACTCAAAAATACCAGTTCGCGAAAACATACCTGAAAAATGAAAAGCATGATAAATACCAGTTCGTGAAAATCCGAAATTTTATACCCGAAATTATATCAGTTCGTGAAAATATACTTGGAACTCGAAAAAAATCAGTTTGTGAAAATATACTTGAAACTATGAAAAAATATCAGTTTGTGAAATCAAATATAAACTTCAAACTCGAAAAAGCTTGAAAAAAACAGTTGAAATGATTTTGTTCTGCTGAGCAATCCGTATTTTGTCTTTATGCACAAGACCTTTCCAGTTAATAAACCAAATAATATACACCGACCAGGGTAAATATAGGAATAAACTTAGCATCCACAGTTCGAGATACACCCATGAATCCAGATAGGAACCAGAGTAAATACGAGAAAAAACTGAGCAACCACCGTTCGATATTTGTTCACAAAAAACGTACAAACCAAAAATTATTTACTAAAGGGAATTTTTTTTATCTTATATTTATGAACAGGTAGTAGTCGTTTGGTTAAAAAAATGTTTTTCAAAATCTTCAATTCAACCGAAGTGAGCAAAATAGGTTACTTACATTACATTTATGAAACTTACTTTTTTGTGAAAAATGCTGTTTTCCGCACGCAAAAAATCCCAATACTTTTTCTAGAAAAATGCTTTCTCGTGTTTCGAAAAAAATGACTCGTGTTAGAATTACAACGCTTTCGGAACAGTGAATTGATCGCTTTTCAAAAAGCCGCTTTTCGTCGCTTCCGCTTTTTCGAAAACCGCTTTTCGCTTATACCGCTTAATTGAGTATTAAATATTCGCTTTCTTCCGCTTTCAAGAGAAACGAATGATGATGAAGTTAATTCAAATAACTTTGAGGTACAAACGATTCTCGGAAACAATTGGACATAAATAAATACAAAGGATTACAGTATAAGTTGAGGTTTAAAGTGATTTTGGTATTCTGTTGCGTTGTATATGACGTAATGAACACGTTTTGCCTTTGCCTCAAGGCCTTAAGGTTAAAATTTTGACCCGTGTTACATTACGACGTAATGCGCATAAGCTAGCATGGCTCAGCCGCTTATTTCATATCCAGTCGCGCTTTTATCGCTTTTACACCGCTTTTCTGAAAATCGGTGCGCTTTCACCGCTTTCGCTTTTTTTGGCTGCATTTCCGCTGTTTCAAACCGCGTTAGTTTAAAGCGGTCAATACCAAGGGCTGGAAAATGTCAATTGGCAACAGTTTTGTCAATTATTCAAAAGTTTTGTCAATTAATTGAATTGGTCGGGGAAAAAATGTCAATTAATCAATTAATTGGACAATTTTTTCCCCTAAAAATTACAAAAAACCTGATTTTAACGTAAGTAGGAGCACAGAGCAACATGGAAAATTGATTTAAAAGTCTTTGTTTTTAAGATTAGGACGTAAATTTGGAGTGTCAAAGAAACTTTTCAGTTGATACTGTGTTCACTGAGTATATCTACTGAGTCAATTTACGCATTTTGCAAAGCTTGGCTACGAAATTACCAGTTACGTCATGAACATGTAACGTACCAGATGCCAGCATACACACACCAATTAATTGCAATTAATTGCTCACAGGGTGTCAATTGTCAACTAGAACAATAGCAAAGCTATATGGACCTGTTTGATTAGTTTTTGGTATTGATAAATGGTTATTGTAGCAACGTAATTAATCGTTCTTGAAAGTTTCAGGGAATTTGTAGTGATCGTTTTTGACAAATGTCGTAATAACCCCAATAAATGATGAAATAGGCTGTTTTTGGCTCCTTTCGAAGTCTTTTTCCCGTCCTCCAAATTTTTTTCCTCGCTTCGGGAGTTGCTTTCCTGGTATTGTAGTAACCTAATTAATATTTCTTGAAAGTTTCAGGGACTTTGTGAAGTTCATTTTTCACCAAAGACGAAAAAACCTCAAAAAAAAACAAACCAGGTTGTTTTTGGCTCCTTTTGAAGTGTTTTTCCCATCCTCAAAAACTTTTCTCGATTCGGGAGTTGCTGTCCTGGTATTGTAGCAACGTAATTAATCTTTCCTGAAAGTTTCAGGGAATTGTAGGGTTCGTTTTTGACAAAATTCCATATAGTTTGCTATTGTTCTAGGGACAAAACACAAAGTATGATTTTCCCAACTTTTTCAATTTGCGATTTCACAAATTTGCGACGAAATTGAAACTACAAGTATGATTAACCAAAAGTACACAGAAAATTAAAACAGCACGAGTGATACTTAGTGCACAGAAAAAAAATTCGCTGAGAAAAAAAGTGATAATTAGTGCACAGAAAATAATTGCGTTGAGAGAAAAACATGGCCATTTTTACCCCCTTTGAAGTGTTTTGCCAGCCTCCAAAAACATTTTTCGTTTCAGGAGTTGTTTTTTCGGTATTTTAGCAACGTAATTAATCATTCCTGAAAGTTTCAGGGAATTTGTGGGGGGCGTTTTTGAGTAAAGTCATAAAAACCTCAAAAAATGCCGAAAATGGCCATTTTTGACCCCTTTACACGTATTTTCCCAGCCTCCAAATATTTTTCTGCACTTGGGGGATGCTGTCCCTTGCTTGTGATAACCTAATTGATCATCCCTGAGAATTTCAAGGAATTTGTGGGGGCCGTTTTCGAGGAAAGTCGAAAAAACCTAAAAGCGTCTGAAAAAAAACAAAAAAAAAATACCAAGACCCATATGAAAATTTTTTTTCACAATTTTGATAAGACCTGTTTAATAAATCAAACAGGAATTAATTTAAATTTGGCCGTGTCAATTAATTGACACAATTAATTGCAATTAAATTGGTCACCAATTGACATTTTCCAGCCCCTTGTCAATACACTGTTTCGGAAAACGTTTCTCCCTCAAAATTCGAACTGTGGTTGCCTTGTCTATCTTGGACAAACGCAGTGTCTGCCACCGGTCACAGGTACTACAGACCCCGTCATAAAGCTGGCTCCGTCACTGGCCACAAAGGCAATGAGACTGGCTATCTCTTCAGGCTGGGCAACTCGCTTCAACAAATGGGTTTTCTCACAATTCTCAATGAACACTTTATAGTCTTCTTCCGACATTCCTAGCAACCAAAAAAATATAACCAACATGTAAAACCAAATGTATGTACAACTACTACAAACTGCAATTTTTCCATTTGACTGAACTTGCAGAAAACCCAAATTTTCGAAGGGCAAATTGATGGCAAATGACACAAAAATGGCAAAAATAGAGAGAAAAATTCTTTAAAATAAAAGGCAAACGGTGGTTTCCCTACTTATCATACCTGAATTTCTCTGTATAGGCGTAACTACAAGTCCAGGGTTAACGGAATTGACTCTAACTTCCGGTGCCAACTCCAGAGCCAGACACTGGGTCAGCATGTCCAGAGCAGCCTTCATCCAGCGACATACAATAGTTGGAGTGGCCCCGGAACGAGCGCATGGCAGCGAGTGAGGAGACATTGACTATTGAGGCACCCCCCTGATCTTGCATAGTTGTCAACAATGTTGAAAAGGTGTGCCCAAATATCATCCTAATAAACTACAATAAATTTATAATGGCATGGAAAAATGGCATTCAGCATGCACGTTTCATAAAAAATGTTAAGTTTTTCAAGTGAAACTTCGCGCCAAATAAATGCATGAAATTTTGCGCCATATTTGACAAATCTAGAAGGAACAAAACCTGATAAATCTCCAGTGATCGAAAGAATATTTTCTGAAGGCATATAGACACTGCATTTCTTTGAAGTTTCCAATAATGCTTCTTCTTTTCTGCCTGTGATACACAACCCTGCGATACCCACTTTGGCAAAATATTCAGCGGTGACTGCTCCAATGCCAGAAGAGGCTCCAGTTATCAGGGCTACTTTCCCAGACAGCATTATCACACTAAAACCGGGTAATTCTCTTGAAAAAAATTACCAGCTAAATCTTGGAAATTTTAAACAAAAAAAACTTCATGGAGAAAGTGTCAGATAGATTTTTGGATTAAGTCCGAAACGAGGAGCACAAGAATGTTTTTGTTGATTATCTCGGGCACATAGCATGGCGGCCTCCGTCAATAGGTGTAATATTCCCAGTCATGAAACTGGCTTGATCACTTGCTAAGAAAGCGATAACGTTTGCAACTTCATCGGGCTGGCCCGGACGCCCCAAAGCATGGGTTGTCTGACTGTGCTTTAAAAAGTCCGAATAGGCTTCATCCGTCATACCTTGACAGCAGAATGCATAGAAGTTTGCCTTGACAAACAAAAACTCCAAAAAAGATTTCGAGAAAAATGTGATGAGAATGAGAAAAAGAATTCTCACCAAAATTTATGAAAATTTTTTTTTCAGCGAAAACATAGAAGTTAATGAATCACACTTTGGCGAAATACAATTGGCGTTTCCTCCAAAAAAAAACATAAAAGTACTTTAAAACTCTGAAAATTGTGCTTTTCATAAGCATCCTGCCTGCTCGTTTGTGGACCTCAGTTTGAATCACACCGGGGTTAACAGAGTTCACCCGAACATCAGGTGCCAACTCTAGAGCTAGACACTGGGTAAACATATCCAGGGCAGCCTTGGACATACAGTAGGGACCCACATTGGCAAACAACCTGTATCAAAGCCATATTCCAATACAGCTCCATTAAAAGTTGGGACAGTTTCATTTTAAAGGAGATAAAGTTATGCAGTAAAAGTCTCGTAGTAGAAAATAAGTTCATTTAGTTGAAAATACTGCACACAATTTTTTTCACTTGGCAAAAAATGGTTACCTTATTCCATTGACAGAGGACACATTAACGATTGATGCTTTTCCAGGATGTTTCTTCAAATGAGGAATAGCAAATTGAGTGAGGGCCACAATGGAACGCGCATTAATATTCATAACATTGTCGTAAACCGCAAGAGGTGTGCTTTCGAACTTTCCAGTTGTAAGGATACCAGCACAGTTAACTAACACGTGAAGAGATTGAAACTTGGCAATTGTCTGTTCCACAAGATTCTTGCAAAAATCTTCGTCTGGAACCAAAACTTCGTGGATAAAATTTTTGGAATTTCGAAAAAAAAAAACTCTGTAAGATTTTCTTAAGTTTTGCATCATAGCTGGGACTACCCGTTATGAATACTTATACTCATTGATAAAATGGCTCTTTTCAGGAAAGAGGTAGACCATTTGAAAAACCGATCATCAACTTTTAAAAAAATTGTTGAAAAAAACACCTGTAACATCTCCAGTCATTGTGAGAACATTTTCTAGCGCGATATGTACGCTGCATTTCAGCGATGTTTCCACTAAAGCTTCTTCGTTCCTGCCTGTGATACATAACCCTGCAATACCCTCTTTGGCAAAATACTCAGCGGTGGCTGCTCCAATACCAGAAGAGGCCCCAGTTATCAGGGCTACTTTACCAGACAGCATTATCACACTAAAATCGGAAAATTCGACAATAAAACTATAGTCCAGAGCAAAACCATTATAATTTTCAAAAAAAAATCGGCAAAAAAGTAAAGTTTTTGTCGGTTAAACTCTAAGGTTCAAGAGAAGATAACATTGAATTCTTCCATTGATTATCTCGGGCACATAGCGTGACGGCCTCCATCTACAGGTGTAATATTCCCTGTCATGAAACTAGCTTGATCACTTGCTAAGAAAGCGATAACATTCGCAACTTCCTGGGGAGTTCCAGGACGTCCCAAAGCATGTGTTGTCTGACTGTGCTTTAAGAAGTCTGTGTAGGCTTCATCCGTCATACCTTGACAGCAAGATGCATGAACTTTGGGTTGAAAAAAAGGTAAAATAATTTTGTACTTTTGATGGATCTCAAGGGCACAAAAACTGTTTATCGTTTTTGTAACAAGAGAAACATCTTGCCTGCTCGTTTCAGGATTTCAGTTGGAATCTCACCGGGGTTAACAGAGTTTACCCTCACATCTGGTGCCAACTCAAGAGCCAGACACTGGGTAAACATATCCAGAGCAGCTTTGGACATACAATAGTAACCCACGTTTGCGAACGACCTATTGAAACTGGGTGTCACTAGAAAAAAGTAAAAATATTTTTAGAATGTCTCAAGCTTCGCACGAATTTTGGTCAAAACATGTCCAAAGTCATGACAATCGCGCCAAGTTTTTTAACGATGTAAAATTAGAGCCCCTATGGACCTTGAAAGTGAACAAGACACGGTTTTTTGTACACCAAATAAAACAACATTCGCTTGAAACTGGTGGCTTCGTCAAAGAACATTTGGCAGGGAGAAAATGGCAGATGGAACTTTTAAGACAGCACTTCTTCCCTTTTATCAGCTTTAGGTTAAGAAATTTACGAACACTTTTTTGGAATTTTGCGAAAAAAACTAAAGAAAAAAGAAAGTTTTAGAGTTCCGTTTTTACCCGACAACATAGTTACTGATTTTGAGAGGGGTTTCACCTGCTTCTTAAAAATTTTCGTCAATTTGCGGTTACTGGTTCCGGTTTTTGCAGTGCGTACTGAGAAAAATCCAAGAGTTCAGATTGAACAAATTAAACTTCGACACCCTCAAACCTGAAAAATTATCCGAAAAAATTTTAGTCTCTCGTTTCTTACCATAGTGCTTGCCACCTATCAAAAAAGCTCAAAAAATTTCAAACGAAAACAAAAACTTGGGCAAAACTTTTTGATAACTTACGGACTAATTTTTCGAACAACCGCGAAAACTTTTTGACCGCAAATAATTTTCTGACCGCCGCGACTAATTTTTTGACTGCCGCGACTAATTTTTTGACCACCGCGACTAACTTTTTGACAGCGGTGTCTAACTTTTTGACCACCGCGACTAAGTTTTTGACCACCGCGACTAGTTTTTGACTGCCGCGACTAATTTATCGAACGCCGCGTCTAGCTTTTTGACAATGGCGTCTAAGTTTTTTAACCGCCGCGACAAATTTTTCAACGCGACTAGTTTTTGACTGCCGCGACTACCTTTTCGACAAGCCGAGACTAATTTTTCTACCCTACCGCCTCGGCTAATTTTTTTACCATTGCGGCCGAGATGCGGTCTTTTCAGAGTTTGTCCGCGAAATAAAACCCTGTCTGTACTATGGACGTTCGGTCACGGAATAAATTTTTTCGCGACCGAGAAAGTCAAAAAATTAGTCGCGGACCTCGACCCGGGTAAGTATCGACGTAGCATGTTTTTAAATGTTGCAAACGGAAATTTGTTTTTTTTTTCTGTTATTTGGCCTAAAACTGATAATTTTGTTATTTTGAAAAATCCACCATACATAATTGTCGAATTTTATTGGTTGAAATAATTGACAATTATTAACAGCAAAAAAAATAATTTCATAAACAACAGAAGCTCAAAGAACAATTTGGAAATTTTGGGCCGTGTAACTAGAACGCGAATTATGTTTAAACCATTTTAATCAATAACAAGAGTGCTCGTATCAAGTCTCAGACCTGAGTGTTCCATTAGTCTTCTATTGATATTGTTTTTCTACAGTATTAACGTTTGTAGGGACGAGGGTTGAGGTTAAGACAGACAAGAAGCAGTATGAAGAAAATCAGACAGAAGAAGAGTCAGGTCAACTTTAGACGCACCGTAACCAAACGATCCAATTAACACCAATTTCAATAATGGCTTGCGATGATACAGATGGTGTCATGTCACCCCTGGATCGGAACATGCCCGAAAGTCTTCGGGTCAAAATTACGATGGTCGCAGAAACAATCATGAGGTGAAATTTCGTCAAAAGGGCTTTCTGTCGAAAGCAATATTTCACTCGTTTTCAAATTTGCAAAAAAAAGGCATCGGGAAAAAATTGTGACATTAGGCTAAAAAGAAACACAATTATTCACGCGCACGGTGCTTCTTGTGCCAAATATGAGCTCAGTGTAGCAAGTGGCCGCTTCTTGTCAAGTCTTCATTATTCGAACTGACTCGCTTGAAGAATCGTCTCATTGTCAAAAAATCAATAGTTGTCGTTTTCGACAAATCGTCGTCTTGTCCAAAAAAATCACTTCATCTCAATTCTGCTCTAGTTAAAATAGTTAGGTCATTTAGTTAGGTCTATTCTTCGGTATGATTTGTTTTTGTATTTTTAACAAGACTGCTCGTATCAGGGCAAAGCCTTGAATGTTCCGGTTGCCTTTTAAGGTCTATGGAGCAGTAATAACGTGAAAAAATTAAATGTAATAAAAACAGAGGAATTTTTTTTTAATTTGATTTTTTGTAAAAATCATCCCCCCACACGCCATATAAAGTACGAAATGATTAATTTCGCACTTTATATGGCGTGTGGGGAGATGATTTTTACAAAAAAAAATAAATTTAAAAAAATTCCTCTGTTTTTATTACATTTAATTTTTTCACGTTATTACTGCTCCTATTAACAAATCAATTATGGCAAATAAGCTTCCTTCAACCAATTTGGAACGATTTCTGATACGGATTAACTCTCCGCTTACGCATTTATAGCACGAAATATATCGCGCGTTAATTGCCCCAAATTGGCCAGAATGGCAATCTTTAAACCCCCATTAGTTTACAACAAATGATCATAGGTAATTTATCTTTTCAAATTTAAGCTCAGGACAACAAAACCTTTTGAATGATATTAAAAATTATCATCAAAATTAGCTAGTTAAAAAGTCGAAATTTGTCTGAAGAAATAAAACCACACTGAGCACAAATATTCCGTTACTTTTGTTACGAAAGTCGAACCAATAGCCTGGAGACCCCTTACAAGTAATAAATTAAAACAATTTTATTTTAAATTTGAGATTTTTTGTGGAAGTCATCCGCCCCCCCCCGACCCGCCATATAAAGCACAAAGTTATAGGTTTTGCTCCTAGTAACAAATCAATTGTGGCAAATACGCTTCCTTCAAATAATTTGGAACGATTTCTAAGACGGATTACATCTCCGCTTACGCGTTAATAGCGCGAAATTTGTCGCGCCTTAATTGTTCCAAATTGGCCAAAACGTCACTCATTAAACCCCCATAACTTTAGGAAAAATTGATCACAGGCAAAATACGCTTTCAAATTCAAGCTCAGGAAAACAAAATCTTTTGAACGATATAAGAAAATTCCGTCAGAAATGGCTAGTTAAAAAAGTCGAAAATTGTCTGAAAAAAGTATGCTTGGATCAATTAGCACATCAGTTTTACCAAACACTTGGCAAGTGTGAAACCCACGTTACTTCATGAAAATTCTCTTTTCTAAAAGAATATTGTTCAAAAGAATATTGTTCAAACAAAAACAGAACAATAAATTGAGTTATCTCAATTATTTTGAACGAAAAAACAACCCAAGCATAAATATTCCGTCATTAGTTCGAAGATTGAAACGACAAAACACAGAACTCTATCATTTCACAGGTAAAACGAAGTGTGATAGAGGGGTTCTAAATCACGCTAATTCTGAGCAAATTTTCTTCAGTTAGAAAAACTAATTGACGTTTGCTCGATTGTTTTTAAGACTTTTTCGAAAGTAATTCACCTGCCGCATTGGCTCTAACGGATTAAATTTTTCAACTGACATTACCGATGCAATAAATTGAACAATTTTGAAGCAATTTTTTACATTGTGACCTTATAACGTTCCTGGGGGACCCCTCTATCACTCTTGTACAGAAAAAGCGTCAACTTTGATGATAAAAGAAAATCTTAGACAGTTTTTTAATTTCCCTTCTTTGTCAGAACAAGCAATCGTTGCTCCAATGAACAAAATTGCTTCAAGTTGCTCTGTTGAGACACTCATATTCTTTTCGATCTATGTAATTGCAATAGCTCTTTTGGTCAATTTTTGAACTAAATAAAAACGACGACTCATTTCGACATATTCAATGACAATTTTTGGTTTTAAAAGTTGACTGTGATAATCTCAAAAATTT